AGGAAGTCACTTTACTAAAAATGTTTAGTTTTGAGTCTTCTCTTCTGCATTTTGCAGATACAATCTTGTAATACATTCTTTTTAGCTTTTACTAATAGGCTCTCGTTTCGACTTTGAGGACTCATTTGGTTCAAGGTATAATGTATAATAAATCTGAGCGATATGATTGGAGGTATTAGGCAAGTCCTCAAGTTATTTATCCCACCATTTATATCCCATATAAATCCATGGTGAAATAACTTATCCTGGAATTATATATAACTAGTTCTCAATCAAACAACCCCTCATTGTTATAGTCATGATCGAGTCGCAGACAAAAAAATTTAATATATATAAGAAAAGAAAATCTTACATATACATATACAACAACATTTATACATACAACTAGTATAAAACAATGTAAGAAAAACTATAAATACTACAATTTGGGTACTTGATGGTATCAACAAGGTGCAAATCGATCCATTAGCAAAAACATAGTTGCTTCACACATTGTGTTATCATTTTTGCTCTCTGCCATTTCTGAAGCAGAAGAAAATTTCTGCCTTTTTTTGCTTTCTTCAACATTTTCCCCTGTTTTTTTCTTCTTCAACAACAAAAAATGACTTTTGGCTCTAACCTTTTCACTTATCTTTGTAATCTCACAAACACAAGCATCAACTACTGTTGCCATTTTTCTTTTCTTGAAAAAAAAAAAAAAGAGTTCCTCTCTTTTTCTCTTTCTTTCTTGCTTTTGTATTCTTGAAAATATTTAAAACTGAGATGTGAAATTGGAAAGTGAAAAAGGGCCTACTTATAAAGTATGAAATCAGTGGAATGGTCCTGCTGGTATTGAGTGGTTTTAGCATCTGCCCACCAGTTTGGTATATTATATTTTACTAGAATATTCTCAAATTTTATACCTTAGTTTGAGAGTATATGCAATAATTTTATGAATATTCATACTCAATTTGTAACTTGGCTTCAAGTCTAAATGAATTGCATGGCTCATTTCTAGGCAGGGCTTTAACTTGATTTAGGTCTCACCGCAATTCATCTTAGATAAATTTCTAGATATCGATTGAATAGTCGATTTTCTTAAACTAAAATCTACGGATCTGGAAGGTACATGAGCAACCAGTTCCAGTATTTTGTCATTAAAAAGAAACATTTGAATAATATTTTCATATAATATGTGAAAAAAATAAATAGAAGGGAAGATAATTACAAATGATAAAATAAAATAAAAAGAAAAAAAAGGAGGAAGAAAATGACTAGGTTGTCAGTTTGTTAGATTAGGACCACAAATGAAATTATACTTTTTTTCACTCTATTACGCAGAAAGTTGTGGAATAATTGACAAAATAGTGTTCCATAACGCTACGCCTCTTCAATTTACAATTTTTGCGATAGTAATACCTCATTATTATATACTACAAGCCATCTGATCCATTAAATTATTGAGAGGACACATGTAATCATTTTAAAGAGTTAATTGAGTGATCCCCTACAGGAGGATAGCTAAATAAATATCGTGATTGGTGGCGTTTTTATTCGATATACGATTTATCATTCACTCAAAAGAATTAATAATTGAAATTTATGAAAAAAATTGTACATATACTCTTTCTTTTTAATTATTTGTTTAATTTTTTTGATTGTTCCTAATTACTTGTCCGACAAATTAATAAAAGATAAAAAAAATCTATGATACTCTTAATTTTACTACTTTAAAAAATGTAAAACAATTTTAAAAATTTATAGATTTTAGTTCATTCACTTTATAATTAATAAAAATAAAATAACAAAATTTACTATATTAATTTTTTTTTAATATATATATCTATATCAATTTAAAAATGAATAAATAATTAAAAACATAAAAGTATATTCATTTTTAGCTACATGGAAAAAAGTAAATGTACACAAGATGAGTTCAACACAAGAACAAAGAAGATGGATAAAGAAGTCGTTGAATTAATCATCTCGTAATTAGTTATTTTATTGTATATATAAATTAATTCATCACATCACTATAATATAAATGATTTGATAAGTTATTTTTAACGTATCAATCAAATAATATATCAAAATTTTATTTCATGATAATTCATTATTGTTCCTCACGAAACAACCGCTAAGACTTCTAGAATATAATAAACTATTGAGGCGACTTTCTAGAGTTTGAGATTAAAAATAGGTTTAAGGTATGAAATCTCGATCGAATTCAATATAATGGAAGCATGAGTTTGATTTGATTGAATTGAATAATATTAAGATCTAAACAAGAAGCTAAATGATATATAAAAAAAAAAGAACAGAAATTCATATTTATACATACCATATACAAGAAAATTTACATTTATACATAGTACTAGGTAGGTGCAAAACGATCCATAAGCAAAAACAAAGTTGCTTCACACATTATGTTGTTATCATTTTTGCTCTCTCTCATCATTTCTAAAGAAGAAGAATTATTCTGAGTTTCTTCAACTTTTTCCCCTTTTTTTTCCTTCTTCAACAAGAAAAGGCTTTTGGCTTTAACCTTTTCACTTATTTTTGTAATCTCAAAAACACAAGCATCAACAACTGCTGCCATTATCTTTCTTGCAAATTCTTTTTTTTTTTTTTTGAAAAATAATCCTCTCTTTTTTCTTGCTTTTGGTTTCTTCAAAGTATTTAAAACTCACATATGAAAATTGAAAAGTGAAAAGCGTTACTTATATAGTATCAAATTATAAGGGTGGGGTGGGGTACGGAGGGGGTGGGGTTGTCCTGGTGGAATTGAGTGGTTTTAGAAGCAAAATATTTTATTTTACTTTAAAAAAAAATCTCCTCGTTACACGGATTAGTAGGATATTCCCATGGGTATAATTTTTGAACTTTGAGTTCACACCTTTTTTATTTTTTATTTTAATGAATTAGTCAACTTTATTGAGAATCATCAGGTTTTTTTTATTTAATTTATAAATTTGAAATAAAATGATGTCATCCATTGATTTTAATTATGATAATAATTAGATTTATCTAATATCTACGATAATAGAAAAATAATGAATTCAATGATACAAATTTCGCTAAAACACACTGTCATTTATTTTTAAAAAAATGCCAATATTTGAAGTATCCATAGTCAAAAGTTTTGGGCATTGTCCTAAAATTTTCATTTCTTAGCATCTGGAAGATAAATAATTAAGTATATTATATATTGCAATTTCTTGTCATTTTGAGAAATATTTGAAAAATAGTGATATGAGAAGAAATTGAGAAAAGTATGAATAAACTGACAAGTTTGGACCACAAGTAAATTCCAAAAAATCATTTATTTCTACTAATTTGTAATAATATTATTACTTTACTACGTAGAAAGTTCTAAATAATTGACAAAACACTGTTCAATTTCTACGGGCGGTGTCGCTAATAAAGGCCTTCCACCACGTGATTGGTCATCTTTAATTCTTCTTCTTTTTTTTATTCACTTTCTATTTTATTTAATTAAAATCTATTTATTTGAATCTTCAAAAATAAAAATAAACTTACTATGATATACACACAATGTGTGAAAGACATTTCTATACTTTCTTTCACACGTCAATTTAGTGATCTGATTTTAGCTTCAAAGTAAAGCTGTAATAAATCAAAAAAATTTCGATGCATACAATATTTTGTTTAAGCACATATAATTTTTCGTGATTTTATTAGTGAGTTATTATTTGTAAAAATAAAGATATTTATCTAAAAGATCAATTTTCAATGGTTCTCTTCATAATTGCTCATCCTTTTTAAAATCAATTACCCTTACATAGTTGTTGATGTTTGAAAATTAATAAAAATTCAATTCTAATTTAAAAATAAGATAATAAATATTTTTAATTTTAAATTTTAAAATTGTAAGTTTAAGTAAAAAAAAAGAAATCCGAAATTTGACGTGTAGGCATGATTCATAAATAATTGTTTATGATCTTATCCAAAGCTCATTCCAATAATGTATATGAAATTATTGCATTCCAAGTCATTACAAAGAGTATTGATTGAGGTGACTTTTCAGACTTGTTTGCTAAGAATTATCTATTTGCCTAACTTTTTATTTTTGTTATTTATGACTCTTTTCGTTCAAAATTATTTGTCATAATTTCTATTTTAAAGTTAAATTATAAAAATTTTGACTAACATTTAAAGATGTAATTTTTTCATTATATTAATATGCAAAAAATTGCAATTTATAGTACTTTTCATATAGAATTAAAATATTTTTTTTTAAAAAAAATGTCGAATTAATATGATCTAATTTAACTTTAAATCAGTTAAATTGACTTTTAAAAAGCATAACATGACAAATAATTCCAGTCGACTGAAGCAGTAAATTTTCATCTATTAATTTGCCTAATAATTGCTGTCTGCTGAGCTGTGATGATAAGAAACTTCAATTATTTATTGTAAAATAAAGCAACTCATATTTGCTACTTTTAAACTAAAGTTTATGAAAAAATTTATTAAAATATCTTTTAATCTTTTGATATTAGATATATGAAATTACAAGTTGAAATTAAAGAGTTGTGGGAAAAAGAAATACACATTCTTTTTAAAATGAACTAAAGAATAGAAAAAAAGACAAACTAATTAATAAACATTATAGAACACGAATAAATATTAATTCTCAAATTTTATACTTATTAATTAAAAAATTGTTGGAACAAATTCTATTCATCCGGCAAATAAGGCGTACATAGTATAAATATGGTATTTATGAGAGAAATTAAAATAACGTAGGGGGGTGTAGCTCATATGGTAGAGCGCTCGCTTCGCATGCGAGAGGCACGGGGTTCGATTCCCCGCACCTCCATAATCATTTTTTTTAGGTATTGAGTTATTATTAACTAAAAATTCTAAATTCGTCTGGTTAATTACGGTAAAAATAATATTCTAGATTCGTCTGGTTAATTTGAGAAAACGGGTTAAACAGCTACAACTTGAGCCCTATTGCGTGACTAACTTGGCATACTCATAAATATCACATTCTTCTTCTTGTCTTTATTTTCCTTTCTAAAACCTCACATCACAAGAGAAAATTGCATAGATATTTTTATTCGAATATCTCATGTCACTGTTCATATATATCATTGAATGTGATGGAAAGCAAAAAAGACTGTAAAGTGAGTCTTTTTCTTTGAGCTTTGTTAGTTCGTTATACAGATTCACAAATATCTGTGCGAATCAACCCCAGTTTAACACATTGTCTAATTTACAAACTTGACATGCAATCTGAGCTCCTGTAAAGCTGACTGTTATCTTTCTATGAGCTCTTGTAATCTATTAAATTACTTACTTCCATTTATACAATACTTGAAGGGCCATTTGGATTCCACATAAATTATGAGCTGCTGTAATCTATGAACATGGATCTATACCACTCAACTTCCAAGTTGTTGCCTTTATCTTATTCCTAGTTTGCCTTGCCCCAAAAGGCCACTCTGTGTCCACTAGACCCAAGCAACCTCCCAGAGACTTGAAACAGTGTATTTATGTCTTTCCTATCTCGTCCCTGGGAGCATCCAGTGGCCAATGACAGGATGATCGAGAGATGGACGATGGTGGCAGGCACGGATCAGGTTTGTTCCAGCCACTTGCTCCAATATGGTTGTGTAGGAATATCTCTTGAACTAGTCAGCATTTACAATCATTACAGATATTTACAGGATACCAAGTGCTTTATGGTAAAGCCAGACCCCAACTAGCAAACAGCAGGAGCTAATAATGTACCCACATTGGATCTCTCACTGCCTCAATCAAAAGTCAAATTTCTCATGACATGTGAATGGCATTAGCCAACCCTCGTAAAAGTCTATAAGCAGCTGTTGTAAGTGCACATTGCTTCGTCAAGTGACCAATAGAACCTATCAAACAAATAAACAAGAGGCAGGGTCAGAACAAAAACTTGCACAAACAATTGAAGAGTAGTGTAACAAGTCTTAAAGAGTATGGCATACATATCCATGCATAAGTACATCTAAATTTAAGCTAACACCTACACGTTGAAAGGTCATTCCAGACAGTTCCAAAAGCTATTCAAACATTTACTCATTGATAAATGCTACACAATCATACAAAGGAATACTTGAGAGAAACCACAGCTCGACATCCACATTTTCATCTTACCAGATGATACTTTGAAAAGGTTATTATTGCCAATTAGTGGATATGGATGGATCATGCTACCCTTCGAAGCAACATTATATTGTCTTCCAACTGTGTTTGTACCATGATCAAAGTGCTGCGAATTGTAGATTTGAAGTTCCAGTATTGCACATATGCAGATTCAAATAAGGAACATGCAGCAGTTTCTCAAAAGGCATCATAAAAAGGAAGAACATGCAGATGGAGAAGATGAGAGCGCTCTACCTCAGCCTTCAAATTGGATCCTCAGATTCGCTTGCACAGACTGCATCAGAAAACTACCAATCCTCCTAGTTAGTTACAAGGAGATGGAGGATGTATAAACAAAATTATCTAGGTATACCTAGAAAAAGCATTAAACAAAATTAATAAAATATTTTTCACCTATGTTTGCTTGCCAATTGCCACGTCTCTTCAAATGAGGAAGTTAAAGTTCCAACATGCATCTTGTGGTTCAGGAGACTAAGCTCCAACATACCTCAGAGCTTCTTCAATGTATCGCAGAATATCATAAAAAGAGCTCTCGTATTGAAAAAAGAATAATGTTCACCAGCTCAAATCCAAGGTGTCCAACCCTCATACATGTTGCAAAGATTATCTACACTTGTTGCTTGCTTGAGCAGATAATCCACTTGTTCTGCAACACTAATTGCCCTGAGGAGAAATATAAACCAACATGGTCATTCACATTTACTACAAGATACTCATCTAAAGTTTCCATGGGAAGGATATACCTGTTATCAGCTACATCTCGACCATCTAACTTCATCTCCACTCTCCTTAAAATTGATAGTGCATATGAATTTTTACCTAGGAGAACAAAACCATATATTTACTATATGAAATGTCACCATTCATGAAATGTTATTGAATAATCAAAAACTATATGGACAATTAAAGAGCCAGAGAATAAATACAACCAATTACTAAGACTGTTTTAGCACACTGTCGGCTAGTACTTCGGTATTTTGATATGGCAAAAAAAGGGAAATTTTTTTATCATTAAGATAGCACCATGAAGTACCTAACAGCAGGAGTTTATCAATACTTCCTTAGTTGTTCAAGTTTAAGCAACAAGTCAACAACAACATACCCAATGGAATCCCACAAGTGAGATCTGGGAGGGTAGAGTATATACAGACCTTACCCCTATCTCATGATTTTAGAGACTGGATCCGATATACCATCGGTCAAGTCAAGCATCTCAAAGCAGTTTGAGAAAGAGAATACGGAAATGGAAGCAGTAACAACAACAAAAAGACGTAAATGGCTAATGAAGAAAATGCAGTCGGCTGTTGGAACTAATACGAAATAAGTATATAAACCACTTCTCGTGACTGGTAACTACTCATTCAGATGTGTAAGCCTATATCATGATAGGACAATCTGTTGATTGATTATGCCACAGAAGTGGTTTTTAAGTTGCATTATGTTCATTCAGTAAGAATAGGAAAGAAACAGTTGATAAATCCTCACCTCTGGTTGTTCTGTTGGCAGCCTCTACATTGATAAGTGAAGTTTCATGAGCAGCCTCCTCAACCCTGTCTTTGCTTGCCAAGGGTTCTTCATTTCCAAGAGAGAGTTTCATCTCAAACGTCTCCTGATCCAATCAATAACAGTATCAATAACGGGTGGAATTCAGACTGTCACATTGTGCAAATACAGAAACAAAACCTGTGTCTTTTCAGATTCCAACTGGGGCAATCCTGGGAGTGCATTTCCAACTGAGGAAAAATTATTAGAATATTCTCTTCTTTCTGTGTCATCAGAACAATATGGAGTAATTGGATCAATTAAGTCTGGCCCATCGGAACTATTTGCAAGACTAACTTGAGATGATGTAGCTGCAGATTCTGAACTGCCACTGGTCATGCTATCAGGAGCAGACATCCATCCTTTATCTTGCAAAGACAGTCCATTCACATCAAGAATATCCATGCTGCTTTCTCTGTCTGATTGGGAGAAGATCTCATTCTTGCTATCATATTGATCGGCAAGATCTGGCCTATACGAGTTGAGATCCTCTGACCTTGCTTCCTGACTTTCTCCTAACCCCTCAAGAGCCTACATCAAATAACAATTTGATTAGAATCTTAGAAAGAGCACCGTGAAATGCATGTTTATTCTCTTTACAACCTTATGCAGATTCCCTGCATGCAGACTTGCAGATTGGGCTAGCCTGGTCAACATTGAATAAAGTCCCTCAACAGAGATTGTGAGAGATTGAACCAAGGGCTTAAAAACTTCATAAGTTTTTTCAACTTTAACATGATAAGACTGGAATATAGCTTGTCCATGAACAGGAGATATCTCCATCGTTGCCTCTCTTTCCTTTGCCATAGCTTCAGTCATGGTAGCAACATCCTTGCATAACAAAGATTCAAGTGGAAGTAGGATGCCATTTGCCTGTCCATCGAGAAAATAAAATAAGTGGTTTTCTTAAATGAGAAGGTTCCTAGGGAAAAAATTCCACTCTAATGAGACCCTGAAATCATCTCTCTATCTAGTATCTACACCTGCCTCGACGTATCATTCCCCAATAAGAAAGTAATCCTTTAAAGGGAAATCACTGTTAAACTACATGCTATGTTCCCAATATGATGGAAATTATTTGGTCGGAAACTGTAGGAAAGACCCGAGTAAATTAACAAGGAAATTGAACATGAATAGGAAAGGGAACAGATACAGGAAACATCATCCCTTTCTGTTACTGTCACTACACAATTTTATCTTACCTCATTTTTTTCAGTGACAGACCACAAGGTAAAAAATGACACCTATAACTTTCATAATATGCAGTATCAGAAATCAGAACTAGGGTCTGCTCGGAATAAGGACAAATTACAAACGAAACAATGTAACTACACTCTGCTGGGATCTTTTCTTGAACCCTTGCGGTGTCAAATGGGCTATGCCTCGGGATATTAGGAGCCTACTGGACAGCTGGCTAGGCAAAAGACAGCAAAGATCTAGAAGCAACTCTGGAGGACCCATCCCTTTCTGCATTTTCTGGACCATTTGGAGAGAAAGGAACAGTGCTTGTTTTAAGAATAAAAAGAACCACAGTTCAAAAGTCAAAAAACTTTTATCATCACAATCTGTTATTTTGGTGTAAGAGGAGTAATAGAGAGTATGGATCAGTATATGGAATTTTTTAATTTGCTAGGAAAAATATAACTGGATGTTCTTGCAGGTGCTTGTCTGTTTTTGTTGTACATATATGTACCGTATTGGTAGTTCTATTAATAAACTTTACCTTAGCAAGAAAACAAGATAAATCTGCCTCCTGCTCCCCCACCTCTCAACCCCCCACCCATTTAAAGATGAAAGAAAGGAAGATAAACAAATGAGAGTAGAGTAAAATAAAAAAACGAAACCTTTGATAGATCTTCCATTAGAGACAAGTGCAAAGCAGTAGCCTCTTTTGCTATACTGTGAACATCATGCACACCTTCTGTTACTGCCAGAACCTTTAGGAAAGGATAAATTATTAAAAACAAGAAAAACTATAAGATAGCTGACACAAAACATCAATAATGTTAGGTGATTTCATCTGGATACTGCAGGTACAAAAACTCTTTAATCATATAAAATGACTCTTTATTTTCTTTTGAAAGCGAATACAATGCCTCTTTTTCATGTATGCTTGCCCAAGATAAATTATTTATACATGTGATCAACAATACTCAAAAAAGGTCAACCTAGAGAAAGTTTGACCACGATTCACATCAAGAGTGACATCCAGAACGATGCTATAACAAAACGACAACATTATGGCAAGGTAAGAGAATCTAGGATATTATTGTATGGCCAAAAAATACATTTAGAAGGAGAAATCCTGCAAAAGCAACTTTCATAGTTGTGAAAGGTGAGACAACTTGCTTAGTTTGGCCTAACTTGTATAAAGTTATTCTGTGATTTTTACAGGTATAATCTTCAAATTTTCTGGAATTACTTACTGAAACCTTCAAGATGCAACCCTTGGTCTATGGCATTGCTACCGATTCGTTTTCTTAGGTGTATTCAAATCTACTCTTGCTCCTTTATTAGGAGAATAAGCTATGCAGATGAAATTAAGCATGCATGTTCTGCTTCAAAAAGGTATATATGTAGGTTAGGAGAAAAGGCTTAGCAGATGAAGTCAAATATTCATGTAGCTGAACAAGCCAATTTGGACACCATTTGATTGAAAGCACCGACATAAATGAACCTTCATAAGAACTTCAATTTAGTTGTGAGCATCCTACCTCTTCAAGCATCGAACCACATTCAGATGTCAAAGCAGTACGCCCCCTTGTAATGGACCCAAATGCAGATAGTGCTACACTTAATTCATAGGAACAATCCCTCATTGCAAGCAAGGTGCTTTGCATATCCCCTTGGAGAAGAGAAAAGTCAATGGCATTAAGAAAATAGGGGAAAGACAACTCTAAAAACATCTTGCTCCAGTTAGTTATATATTAAGAAAACATTAAAGAAAACTATGTTATAGATTACAGGACTGCGGACTAGTAATATGTGCATCCCCTGTTATAGATAAAAAGATGAATGAAATTGAGTGGTTTATTGAACATAGGTACTGTGGAATAAATATATAAAATCATGCAACAACCATTTCAACTTATGGTAGGCCGAAACTCCATCTCTTGCTTTTAGCAGAGAAAATTCAAAGTTTTCGTTTCACAGTGACCAATTGTAACTATAGTTCCACGAGCTTGGTAAAACTAATAAAAAGCCCCAGCAGCACATGTAAGAAGTAGACCATCAAGTTAAAGAGCTTGATTCTAACACAATTAATCAGCTTAAGATTTAAGGTAGGCACACACTGAACTAGCTACATAAATACCATCATAAAGTCATCCTTACCTGATGCTGACTTAGCTTTAACAGAAGCAACACAGAGTTCGTTGGTTGCAGAGAATAAAGCACTTGAAGCCGCCTCCATGTTGGTCTGTGCAAGTTTCCATTCTTGTTCAGTATCTGATGCATAAAAGACAAAAAGACGATTTTTGCCAATGAGAAGCATGCAACACCGATAGCAATGCACTCTTGTCATTTATAAAATAGAGAACATACAGATCTGAGCCTTCATTATTTTTAAAAATTCAATTACCCAGATTAAGGTCATGTGGAGACTTACGATTAAAGGAATGATAAGTAACGTCCAAGTTTGTCAGAGCATTTAAGTAAGCTTGCTGCCAGGTCCTGCCATCTGCCATGCTCCTAGATGGATAAAATTCTTCTGAAGTTTGGAAAAATCCATCTCTCGATAATTCAAACTTCAATATGGAGATGCAAAGTTTCATCACATCTGATGCCTTTTCTCGAACTTCACATATTAACTGTTGGCGCCTCCTTAGATGATCATGGAATTCCTGAGGTATTCC